GTTGTCTGCACATCTGTGTCTGTCCCTGCTTTACTTGTGTGTTCCTGTAACTGCTTGGGAAGTTGAGGCTCACACCCTGCAGGCTTTGAGAAGGTGACTCTACTAGTCCCACATCTTTCTGGACGAACTTTCCTTATAATGCAACTTTAACACTGTACTTTTTAAAAGAGATGTTAGTAAACTCTAGTGTGTTAGCACAGTTCATGCCACATCTTTCTGCTGTGAAAGCCATTTACTTCAAAGGATGAAATTGTCAGAAGTATAATCAGAACTTGAAAAAAATGTTTAACCAGCTGCCTGTGACTTAGTTGTTCATGTTTTCTGGGCTTTATCACATCTTGTAATGTGAAAATCATAATTCTTGGTAATGAGAAAGTCATCATAAAAATGGTCTAATAAAGTCTCACCTTCCTCTTAAATTAAGCAATATAATACCTCATATTCCCTTATTGTGATTATGAGCAGTTCCTTTTGCTTTGAGGATCCTAGTTTCAGATGGGGCTTTTCACAAGTAAAATTATAAGATTTTTGTGCAATTTTATACAATTCAGTGTTTGTTTTTAATTTAATTTAAAATGTAATGTGGTTCATTTTCACGGTGCTTTTTATAGATACCTTCTATTTATGACAAGTGATACTGTCTTTCCATTTAGTGTAGTGGTAGAAGGTTTCCCCTTGTAGTAATTATATTTAAGTAAAAAGGATCTTTTTGGCAAGACAAATGCAGTAGTTATATTGTATCCTGTGCATTTTATCAAGTAGTAGTTCATAATCTCCTTATGTTTTATTACCAGAGATGTTTACCTGATCATTTGGTTAGTGTCGCCTGGGTTTTTCCACTGTAAGTTTACTTCCTTTACCTTTGTAGTGGATAAGTATCTTGAGGGAGATGCTTTGAGACCAGGCAAACCCTGTTTCTCTTCAAACTTGCCCACCAATTTCAGCATGCATCAGGAGCTCTTGGCTGCAGCATTTATTACTGTAGTGCCTGGTGATTCTGTTTTCCATTTTCCTCCTGCCTTTTAACTGGATTATGTAAGGAAGAGATTTTTCTTTTCCCTTGTTCATTTATTTGCTTGATTATTTATATAAAGAGTTATGGATATATGTATTATCCTATGGATTAGAGTCTACCGCTGTCTTTATTGTAGAACCTTACTCTAATTATGAGCGAATATTGGGAAAACCCACGTTGAGGGACAGTGTCTAGGACATGAAAGACAAAACAGAGCAACTGCTGTAGATCGGAGAAGATTAAGAAGAAATAGTGACTAAGTGCAGTGTGGGGTCCTGGACAAGATTCTAGAACAGATACCGATTGTGAGTGGAAAAACTGGTGAACTTAAGTCTGTGGTTCAGTTATTAATATATGGTACCAGTGTTAACTTCCTGTTGATGATTGTATGTACCTGGTTATATAGAGGAAGAGTGGGTAAGACATAAGGGATAAGGGAACTCGTACCATTTTTTACAGCTTTTCTTTACCTAAAATTGGTTTAAAATTGAAAGTTTAAGAAGTCAATTTAAAAAATAATATTAAGTAAGTAATGGTGAATCCTTTTATTAATTAAATTTAAAACAAAATATTTTTCTGCCTTTGAACATGTGGTAAAGGCTTTTTGTTTGAAATTTTCTATAATGGAAAATATCTGGAGGATTGATTTCTTTGGCTTTACATTTTGATGGTGAGAAACTTGATTCTGCATATTGTGTATTCACATATCAGTGTATAACTTTAAATTGGTTTACTCTCTCACACTGTTCTGGTGGAGTATAACTTTTAAGAGATTTAAATTTATTAGTTTTTCTAATGATTCATATGCAATGTCTTCGACCTTTAATTTTATTTTGGATTAAATTTAAAAAAATAAAATATTCACACATTAAAGACTGGAACAGTTTGGGGTTTTTTTTTAGAGATTGGATCTCTCTGTTGCTCAGGCTGGTCTCAAACTTCTGGCCTCAAGTAATCCTCCTGCCTCAGCCTCCCAGAGTGCTGGGATTACAGGTTTGACCCACCACATCAGGCCAAGACTAGAATAATTGTGAGAGGAGGAGTCTTTATTTTTTATCTATTTGAAAATTTTAACTTTCCCTTGTATTCCTTTAATTCCTTCTACAAACCAAGTAATTTTGTTCAAAATTTAGTTTTACTTAGGATGAAAGTTTTTTTCATAAAAGAAATTGATTTTTCAGCCGGGCGCGGTGGCTCACGCCTGTAATCCTAGCTCTCTGGGAGGCTGAGGCGGGCGGATTGCTCGAGGTCAGGAGTTCGAAACCAGCCTGAACAAGAGCAAGACCCTGTCTCTACTATAAATAGAAAGAAATTAATTGGCCAACTAATATATATACAAAAAATTAGCCGGGCATGGTGGCGAATGCCTGTAGTCCCAGCTACTTGGGAGGCTGAGGCAGGAGGATCACTTGAGCCCAGGAGTTTGAGGTTGCTGTGAGCTAGGCTGACACCACGGCACTCACTCTAGCCTGGGCAACAAAGTGAGACTCTGTCTCAAAAAAAGAAAGGAGCTAATGACATTCCTTGTTTTATTCTTTGTCTTACATTATGTCTATCTGGTGATGATTTCTTAAAATAGTTTTACTTTGTTGATCAATCAGCAATTGTAGTATCTTATGGTCTGCTTTTCTAGATAGAGTTTTTGTGTTTTGATATGTAACGATTCATTCATGCCTTTAACAAATACTTGTGGAGACCTTGTTATGGCCCAGGTACTGTTCTGCTTGCTGAGCATACAGATAGAGCATATGATGGGCGAGCTTCCTGTTCAGTGATAGGACACCAGTAGTGACCAAGATAGTGGGACAGTGATGAGAACTGCAAAGGCAATAGGGTGACACGATAGTAACTGGGAAGGCCTATGTTAGTTAGGGTGTTATGACAGTAACTAGGAAGGCCTACCTTAGTTAGGGTATTTAGGGGAAGGGCTCTCTGAGGAGGTTAGAGTGGAACTAATTCCAGAAGGATGAAAAACAAGCTGCCTTGTGAAAATTCTGGAAGAAGAACATTCTTGGTTAAAGGAATAGCAAATGAAAAGACTTTCAGGGAGGATTTCCCAACCGTGGCACTGTTGATATTTTTTACCAGTTCTTTGTTGTGGGGGCTGTCCTGTACGTTGGAGGATGTTTAGCAGCATCCATGGCCTCTGCCCACTAGATGCCAACAGCACGCCCTCCTCTAGTTGCGGCATCCAAAAATGTCTCCAGAAATTACAAAATGTCCACTGGGCGGTAAACTTTCCTCAGTTGAATTACTATTCCAGCAAGAAAGGGATTTGTTAGTTGGTGCTTTTTAACTTTTTTTTTTTCTTTTTCTCTTGAGAAAATTCTTAGCCGGTGTCTCTTCTAGTAGTGTTTTTACTCCATTCTCCTCCTTGAACTCAAATTGCAAATATATTTGACCTTGGCCTTGTGTCCCACATGACCATATGTGCTTTTCTGGATATTTATCCTTTCAAATATCTGTGCATCAGTTTGGATATTTTTTTCTGACCTAACTTCTAATTTACAAATTATCTCTTTAGCATTATCTAATTGTTAAATATATCCATTGAGGTCTCTCTCTTTTTTTTTTTTCCTTTTAAAGAGACAAGGAGGTTCTCCCCATGTTGCCCAGGCTGGAGTACAGTGGCATAATCATAGGTTTTTTGTGGAGATGGGGTCTTGCTGTTGCCTAAGCTATTAGCTTTTAATTAAGTGCTCTGAGAATCATTATTTTAGTGAATAGATTCCAAAACTAGATTAAAGCTCACAGGTTTTCTTGTTGTAACCATTCCAAGCTCAGAAAGTACACTTCCATGACTCGATGGTGTTCTCTAACCACAGGACTATTTGGGTTAGTATACGTGTGTGTCAGGTTGTAGATGGCATTCATACAAGACGTGAAACAGTGTAATGTGGTAAGGCAGAGTACAGATTTTAGTGTCACAACTGAGTTTGAATTCTAACTCTTGTACATGTTTGCATATTACTTAATCTTTAAAGCAATATCAGTTTCAGCATCTTTAAATTAGAAGTCATGCTCACCTGTAAGGTTGTTGTGCAGATGAATATGAAGTGCCTCTCAGGGCTGGCACATAGTCGGCTCTCAAACAGTGGTAGCTGCAGTGTTTAAAATGATGATGATAAAGAATATATATTTTTACCAGCTCACTGAAAATGTTAAAGACAGTCTCAAGTTAATGGAAATTGGAGTTTTCTTTTAAAACAAGAAAATGATCTGCAAAATGCATGTTTGTGTTGTTTGTATTCTTTTAATATTTAAAACTAAGTTTTTTTTAAAAAGTCACTATACTGGTAGGATTGTAAAATGGTGTTACTATTTTGGAAAACTGTGGCAGTTCCTTAAAATATTAATTCCACTCACAGGTATGTACCCAAGAGAAATGAAAACCTGTGTTCCCAAACTTGTATGTGAGTGTTCTTAGCAGCCTTATTCATAATAGTTAACACTGGAAACAGCCCAAATGTCCATCAGTGGATGAATGGATAAACATATTGTGATCCATCCATACAACAGAATATTTTCAGCCATAAAAAGGAATAAAGTTCTGACATAATGCTGTAACATGGATGAATCTTGAAAAAATCACACTAAGTGAAAAAAGGCCCAATACAAAAGGCTGCATGTTATGTGATTCCACTGTATGAAAGGTTGAGAATAGGCAAATCCATGGAGACAAAAAGTGGATTAGTGGTTGCTGAGAGCAGGGGGTGAGAGCAGGGAATGAAGTGGGTATAGGCTGGTGCGTATAGAGTTTCTGTTTGGGGGTAATGAATATGTTCTAAAATTAGATAGCAGTCATGGTTGCATAACTCTGAATATATACTAAAAATATATTAGGTGGATGGTATACTTTAAAGAATAAATTTGATGGTATATGAGTGGTATAGCTTTTTTTTTTTAATAGAAAGTCCGTACTAGCAAAATGTCATTTTCACTGATACTGACCAATTGCTCCCTCTCTCCTCCCTCCATTATTCAGGAAGAAAGGCGAAGATTGAAAAATGCAGTAATTATCCAGTCATTTATTCGAGGCTATAGAGATAGAAAACAGCAAGTAAGTAAGTTTGTTTTTAAAATGAGAAAGCATTAGATAGGCATGCAAGAGTTTATTTTAAATCTGGCCTTGTTATTGTCAGCATTCATTTTGTATGTATTTTTATACACCTTTTAAATGAAAGTTAATGTTAATAATAGTGTTTTTCACAATAAATAATTTCATTAATTATACTAAAATTTATAGATAGGTGAGATTTTAGGTAATTTTTAAATAACAAAATGCAAGCATGGACCAAACCACAGCTGAAGATCAGAGCAAAAGGAAGTGACGGGGGAGGGTCTATCAGTGGGCACTGTGGGGTCTGTCATTACATGCAGATTTTCTTTAAACCTTTTACCAGCAACTCCAGCAACAGCATATTCATTGTCAGTTTCCACCACTCCTATGAAAACAGCATATATTTGGATGTGAGATTTATGTATCTAAATAACATATTTATGTTTTGCTTTCAGTATTCCGTCCAAAGAAGTGCATTTGATCGCTGCGCTAGCCTGTCTCAGTCTGGTGGCACTTTTCCCATTGCTAATGGTCCTAACCTTACCCTTTTGGTAAGGCAGCTTCTGTTCTTTTACAAACAGAATGAAGACTCAAAACGTTTGGTGAGTATTAACTACGTTTTCACTTGTCCTTGTTTATGTATTTTCCAAATTCTAATTTTTTTTTAAGCGGAAATGGTATGTATCTGATTAAGAAGTCAGGTAACCCCTCCCCTATGTCTAAGCCTTTGTGAACTCCTAGGCCAGTGGCAATAGGTCACCTTTGTATAATGTGCTTTACCTTTTTCTTTTTTTTGAGACAGAGTCTTGCTTTGTTGCCCAGGCTAGAGTGAGTGCTGTGGCGTCAGCCTAGCTCACAGCAACCTCAATCTCCTGGGCTCAGACAATCCTGCCTCAGCCACCCGAATAGCTGGGACTACAGGCATGCACCACCATGCCCGGCTAATTTTTTCTATATATATTAGTTGTCCAATTAATTTCTTTCTATTTTTAGTAGAGACAGGGTTTTGCTCTTGCTCAGGCTGGTTTCGAACTCCTGACCTTGAGCAATCCACCCGCCTCGGTCTCCCAGAGAGCTAGGATTACAAGTGTGAGCCATCACGCCTGGCCAACCTATTAAAATTCGATGTACATTTTCAGTAGGCTTTTCATTTTTTTTTTCAGTGTATAGAAAGTTTATTGCATACACAACAGAAATGCCATTGGTTGTTTGCTATTGTTAAATGTTAACACTTATGAGATGTTAATACATACACTAAATGTTTTTGTTTTAAAGAAACTAGGAATTAAAAATATCTTGAAGCCATTTGATTAGTTTGAATTAGTTTCTGAAATGTAGGATGAGATGGCATTTAATAGATGCAGTATTTCATTCCAGCCTTTTTACAACAATGAATTTGAGCAAGCACCTTTTAGAAAGCACACAATTCTTTCCTCATTTCAATGTCTCTCTTCAGTTGACACAAGGCGCAAGAAGAACAAAATGTCCACCACAGCCAGTCGCTGCACAGAGATCCCGGGATGCCGTATCGTGTGCGGTACAGGGTCCTGATGGCCATGTTCGACCCACACAGGCAGAACTCGCCCAGGTCCTCAGCGATCATAGTGGCCAGGATCAGGGGACAGAAAGTCCCGCAGAGACAAATCTTCATGTCATTGCAGCAGCCCCAAGGGCTGGACTGCCAGTTACTAAGGGCCACACTCCTTGAGACATATCCTGGCTGGCAATAAACCGTATTCATTTTTCAGGCTGAGTTCAGAAGGACGTTGCCTTATCCTAGATATTCCAAGATGTGAATGGCTCTTCTATAAGGCCGTATTTGGCACCTTCTGAAGCCTCCTTCACCCCAGATCCCTTCAGAACCTGCTCCTCTCAACAGCCTCCCTCGTCATGCTCCTCCAGAAGCCAGACACGCCCCAGCGGGCATTGCCATCCCTCCCCTGGAACCCCTGGGTCTCCTAGGACACAGCTGTCTCTGTGTCACAATAGGCGTCCGCCTCAGCCACCACTGCTGTCCTTTCTCCCTTTTCATTTTTTATTATGGGAAATTTCACACATAAGAAAGAGTAGACTGTGTTGACCCACTTACCAAGAACCCCTGAGCCCGCCTCAGCAGTCATCACACTTCCGTTAACGGGAAGCATCCGAAATACCACATCAGCATGTTCGTCTGCAGTCTGTAAAACATAGGGTCTCCCATTTTTGAAGATCAAAAATTTTTCTTTAAAAGTTTTGTAGGCTTTTGTTGTGACCGTGATGAGGAATAGTGTATGTTAATGGTGGAAAATAAATACAGATGCATAGATGAATAATTTTTTAAACATGGAATTTGTTACTACCCGTTTTCCCAGGAAATATGAAGAATTTCATATGTAATTGTTAGGTTAAATATACATCTATTCTTAGAAACTTTTGTTTACCTGTATTTAAAATCTCAAATTGTCTTGCAGTGAAAAGCAAGTCTTGCATGCCACAGGCCACACATACTAGAAAGATCCTCACATGAACTAAGTACAGAGGAGAAAGAAATGCCTATTGCTTACCTAACCTGTGGCCTTAAGCCCCAGCATTATTGCCTGAGCTGAGCTAGGCTGAAACATGGGAGAACGTTCTATTAATTTGTCTAATGAGGTAGTAAAAGCAGTTTGTTTATTTTAGAGACAGAGTCTCCCTCCATCACCTAGGCTCTGGAGTGCAGAAGCCTAATCATAGCTCACAGCAGCCTCAAACTCCTGAGCTCAAGTGATCCTTTGGCCTCAGCCTCCTGAGTAGCTGGGACTATAGGTGCATACCACCATGCCAGGCTAATTTTTCTATTTTTTTTTTTTTAAGAGATGGGGGTCTTGATATGTTGCCCAGCCTGGTCTGGAACTCCTAACCTTAAGCAATCTTCCTGCCTTGGCCTATCTAAATGCTAGGATTAGGCTGGGTGTGGTGGCTCACGCCTGTAATTCCTAGCATTTTGGGAGGCTGAGGCGGGTGGATCGTTTGAGCTCAGGAGTTCGAAACCAGCCTGAGCAAGAGAGAGAGAGAGACCCTGTTTCTACTAAAAATAGAAATAAATTAATTGGCCAACTAAAAATACATAGAAAAAATTAGCCGGGCATAGGGGCACATGCCTGTAGTCCCAGCTACCTGGGAGGCTGAGGCAGGAGGATTGCTTGAGCCCAGGAGTCGGAAGTTGCTGTGAGCTAGGCTGATGCCACGGCACTCTAGCCTGGGCAACAGAGTAAGACTCTGTCTCAAAAAAAACCCAAAATACCTAGGATTATAGGCGTGAGCCACCATGCCCAGCCCTGATGTATTATTATTAAGATGGGAAATGCAAATATTGCTAAGTAAAACCTGACTTCGAAGATTTACTTCTTTTTTTTTTTTTTTTTTGAGACAGAGTCTCGCTTTGTTGTTCAGGCTAGAGTGAGTGCCGTGGCGTCAGCCTGGCTCACAGCAACCTCACACTCCCGGGTTCAAGCAGTCCTGCTGCCTCAGCCTCCCAAGTAGCTGGGACTACAGGCATGCACCACCATGCCCGGCTAATTTTTTGTATATATATTAGTTGGCCAATTAATTTCTTTCTATTTATAGTAGAGACGGGGTCTCGCTCTTGCTTAGGCTGGTTTCGAACTCCTGACCTCGAGTAATCCGCCCGCCTCGGCCTCCGAGAGAGCTAGGATTACAGGCATGAGCCACTGCGCCCAGCCCGAAGATTTACTTCTTATTGGGTTTTGATTAGGTTTGATTCAGTGTGCATTACCACTTAAGGAAATTTGGAATATTATGTAAGCTAGCAAACGATTAAATTTTAATGGATTGACAGTTTTGTGTGTTTTGCTGTTGCAGATATGGCTGTATCAGAACTTAATTAAACACAGTGCACTGTTTGTCAAGCAGTTGGATGGATCAGAACGACTTACATGCTTATTTCAAATCAAGAGGTTGATGAGCCTCTGTTGCAGGTAAATTCTGTCTTAGTCAGCATCTTATGCATATAATGCATTGACCAATTTGAATGTCTAGGAGAACACCTTTTGTTTTCATTTTCTGAGACAGTGGCTTTTCCACAAAATTTTTTTAAGGCCTTGAAATATTCTGTTTATGACAATTTTCATTCTAGGTGATTCTCACCTTGTGACTTAGAAATTAAACATCGATATAAGTATCTTCCAGATGATATTTTCTTTCAAGGATGTCCTGGAATTATCTTGTGAAATGTGAAGAAGTTATCATTTTGCCACATTTGCTTGCTTTCTTTACACTTACTGTTTTTCTGAAGTGTTGGAGCATAAGTTGCAGACATCATGACACTCACCCCAGTTCACCACACATTAGGAACAGCACATCCTCATGTGACCACAGTGCTAGCTCCACATCTGAGAACATTAGGATTTCTCTAATACCATGTAATATGCACTCCATATTCAGATTTCCTTGTTTGTCTCAAAAATCTCTTTTTTGTTTTAATGATCTTAAGAACCGCTCATTTCATGTATTCCTCTGTCTTCTGCATTTCTGAAATGGGAGCTGGGTTTAGGGGAGGGTTTCCTCAACCTTGTCCTGTTGACATCTTGGAAGAGCTCTGTCGTGGGACCATCCTGCACTGCAGGAGGTTGATCAGCGCCTCTTACCTGTACCCTTCAGGTGCTGGTGGTCCCCACTCCCAGCCAGACATGTCTCTGAACACTGCCAGATGTCACCCCAGAAGCAAAATTGTCCTCAGTTGAGAGCCACTGATACAGTGGCTTGCTTCAATTTAATGCAAACATTTTAAATGCTTCCTGGGGGTGATGCGAGAGTCACATCATATCACATCAAGAGACTCCTACTGAGGTATAGCCCATTATGAATGATGCTGAGTTTGATTATTTGGTTAAGGTAGAAACTACTATAGCTGTGTATTGTGAAGGTACATTTCTTCTTGTCTATGTGATGGTCCTTGCATATGTGAATACAGCCTGTCACCCAGGGGTTTTAGCATCTGTAGATGATCTGTCCCTGAATCAATTGTACATCATCTGTGGTTTGTGGAATGGTGATTCTTCTAATTCTCTTGCTGCTTCAGTGTTTATTAGCTGCCATTCTTTTGTAAAGAAGACCCCTCCCCTTCTATTCCCCTTAGTCTCAGTAAGGCCTTATGTATGTTTTAAAACAGTGTGTGATAAATTATTCTTTTTGGTGGTCCTGTTAGATAGAGCCTGTAAGTGGCCTCTCCTGGCCAGGAATAGTGTCTCACGCCTGCAGTCCTAGCACTGTGTTGTTATTTAACACTAACCTTTGTAAAGGTAAACAGACACTTATCTACTTAAGTAAATTTAGTTTGAAAATAAAGATAATTTTGAGAAATCTTCTCAAATATTTACATTACTTGGATGTCTTCTTTTGTGAGTGTCCATTAGGAATGTTAGGGTTGGCTCATCAGTTCCTTGGTTTATTAGAAAGAGCTTATGGAGTCAGCACTCAGCTCTGGAGTGTGGCAGTGAGGAATCAGAAGGTTCTTACTCTCCTGAGCTTATATCTGGTCTGGGAGAGCAAGAATAAGCATAAAGAAGTATGAATGTTTTTACACAAAAAAAGTCAATGTTAAGTATTGAGATAGAAAGAAGGAAATTCATTTTATGGATTTTGATGGGGGAGTGGCTCTTTTGTGATCATCTGATTAGAAATGCCTCTCCTTGCAGGGACTTGGAACGAGGGAGAGCGTTGGCCATTGGGCCAGAGTCAGCTGGTGTGGTGGCTGCTGAGAAGGCACAGAGATATTTGAAGTCTGGTGGGATGTTCTCTAAGGACTTAAGCTTTATGCTGAGTGAGCAGAAAAGTTTTGAGCCAATGTGACCTGACATTTTTTCCCACTCTCTTTTAAAGTTTCTGTTAGGTAAAATTTCAACATGAAAGAGTAGAACAATGGTATACTAAATGCTCTTTGCTACCACATGGAGTCAAGAGTTTTTAACATTGGTTTGTTTTGTTTTTTCAAGAGTTTTTAACATCTTGACCATTGCTAGTATTTTGCTGAATCATTGCAAAGGAACGTAGACATTCCACTCCCCAAATACTTCCATCTCCCTCTCAAGAGGATGATAAACAGTAATGCCATTATCACACCCACAAAGTTGTTTAAGACTTAATACATTAGCTAATTCTAAGGGCTAGCAGTTTGCTTTGACAGTCCCAGTACCAGCACCAGCACCCCTTTTGCTCAGAAATGGCTCTGTTTAGTCACTTTGTCTAATACCCAGTTTATTTTCAAATTCCTCTGTTGTCTTCACGATGTGTTTTATAGCTATTTATTCTTTTTTTTTTTAACAGTCTGTTTGACCACATATTACCTTTGAAGTCTCATGACTCTTTCATCTAGAACAGCCCTTCCCACACCTCCACTTTATGTTTTCACTCCACTCTGGCTAGCGTGTTGAAAAGGGACTGCAGGGAGGGAGGGCAGAGGCAGGGATCAGCAAGGGAGGGCGGTGATCCAGCCAGAAGCAGTGGTGGCCTGCACAAAGCGGATGGTGGAGTCTTCTGGAGAGGTGACAGCATTTGCTGACACACTGCCGTGGGGTTTCAGATAAGGAAGAGTTGAGGATGGATACCAGCTTGGTTTGAGCACGGAGGAGGATGAAAGTCGTTTGAAGACTGGGGGGTGCATAACACTGGATGGGGGTGAGTGGATTGTGTAGGAGAGAAAAGGTAGGATCTCACTCTTGCTTAGGTTGGTTTCAAACTCCTGACCTTGAGCGATCCTCCCGCCTTGGCCTCTCAGAATGCTAGGATTACAGGTGTGAGCCACAGTGCCCAACCAAGAGAGAATCTTGATGCAGAAGGATTACTAGAACAAACGTTGCTTCCAAGAGAGGATGGGGGTTGCTCCAGGGTTACAGGGTAGGGCCTCAGATGGGGTAAGGGCAGTTTGTCCATATTATTCAGAGACTGATACCTGGTTAAAAAATTAGATAAAAAATTTGAGCAGACACACTTAAAAGGGAGACATCTGAATAACCAGAAAGCCCTCGAAAAATGCTCATCGTCATTAGTGACCAGGGAAGCACAAATTCAGATCACTGGACTACGACCACACGCCTGTCAACATGACTGGGTCTTACAAACTGTCCCTTCCGAGTGTTGAGGGTATGGAGCAAACGGGATGCTCATGTACTGCTGCTGTAAGTTTGGTGGTTTCTTAGAAAGTTACATGGCTGCCACGTGACCCGGTGATTCCACACCTAGGAATTTACTCAAGAAAAATGAGTCCCAGTCCATACAGAGGCTGGCCCTCGAACCCCCATAATAGCTTTCTTCATAATAGCAAAAGACTGGAAACAGCCCACATACCTGTCAGCATGTGAATGTATGACCCAAAGGTGGTATTTCCGTGCAATGGAACAGTGCTCAGCAGTACAAAGGACCAAGTTTTGGACATATGTGGATGAATCTCAGAAAGATGCCGAGTGAAGGAGTCTAGACACTGAGTCCATACCATGTGATAATTTCTTACATGTAAAAAGAGCAGAAAGTGCACCGTACTTGATAATGACAGAAAACAAGGCTGGGGGTAATAGCACAGGTGCACAAGGCGAGTGGCTTGGAGGGAGGATGGACTGGAGACAGCCAAGGGGAGCGACAGCTGTGCTCTGCGTCCTGGTCGTGGTGCGTCTGTCCAGACGCGTGCCGCCCAGGTCCAGTGGGTGGGTGTGGATTAATGTGTGCAAATACATGTCTCTAAAGTTGATTTTAAGAAAAGATGTGTCTGTTTTTAAATAAGACTTTAATTTTGTGACCGCTAGGCCTTCCCTTCTGCCTGTAATCCTTCTCATAGGCAGAAGGGGAGGCCTTAGTCAAAATGACAGATGACTTAGGACCAGAAATCTATCACTGTCTGTTCTGTGTGGAGGATACTGCAGGCATGGAAAGGCCTGAAGTCATCTTTGAAGGAGTTGTTCACTTTCTAAGAAGTGTCTCCCTCAGTTCAATTACATGTAGTTTCTCTTGGTGCAATACGTAGATTGTAATACTTCCCACGCTGTCTGTAATCTGAGCCTTTGTGTCCGTGTCTCACGTCTGTAAGCCTAGTGCCAGCGTGCTGTTTGGCATGTCACAAGGACTCTTACAAACTGGTTGACAGAATGTTTGATCACCGCCCTATCTTTGAGATACGCCTGTTTTCAGAGACGGTCTAGTACTAGATCAGAGTGGCTCAGGTACTTACCATTGTGACTGAGAGTAATTTGGGGAAACTTTTGGTGACCTTTGCCATGCAGTCATTGAGGGAATGCTTTTTTTCCCCCCATTTTTACAGGTTGCTGCAAAACTGTAATGATGACAGTTTGAATGTTGCACTTCCAATGAGAATGCTTGAAGTATTTTCGTCTGAGAATACTTATATGCCTGTTTTACAAGATGCCAGCTATGTGGTGTCAGTAATTGAACAAATTTTGCACTACATGATTCAAAATGGTGAGTAGTAGGTGGGTAAGAACTGGGGCATAGTATTATTTTGTGAAATAAGTACAAGCCAGCACGTACAAGCCAGCACACTTTTTGGAACTTACCCCAACATCAAAATGTGTAACAAAAGCGTTGTGTACAGTGAGGGGTGCCTGCAAGAGTCATGGATTCCAGCATCTATCCTTGGCTCTACCGAATTTGAAAATTTGGAAATGTACTATTTTCTTTTGCTTGGAAATGAAGAAAAGCAATGTATGCTTTTAGAAATTGTCTTGAGTATAATACTTTAATCCAAGATTTGCATCTGTAGTGAAGCCATCAGTCCTTCCATAACTGAATGGGGAGGGATCTTATAACTTTGTGATCACCCTGAGTGGATAGAAAAGATGATACCACAGATGCATGAGTTAAGTCACTTGGAGAGCCTGTCTTATTAAAAAACAAATCTTACTATTCACCCAGTGCGGTGGCTCACACCTATAATCCCGGCACTTTGGGAGGCTGAGGAAGGAAGATCACTTGAGGTGAGGAGTTCAAGACCTGGGCAACAGAGTGAGACTCTGTCTTAACAAAAAATAAAAAAATTAGTTGGGCATGGTGGGGATCACCTATAGTCCTAGATACTTGGGAAACTGAGGCAGGAGGGAGGAGCACCTGAGCCTAGGAGTTGGAGGCTGCAGTGAGTTATGATTGGGCCACAGCACTCCAGCCTGGGCAGCAGAGTGAGAACCTGTCTCAAAAAAAAAAAAAAAAAAAAGTAAATCTATTAAATTATTCTTTTTAAAAGAATGATAAATTCTCATTTGTTCAGTAGAATGGGATATTTAGTTTATTTGAATTTTCTTTCTATAACTCAGTGTTAGAGCTTTTATACATTGATACTATCCTTAAAATGTCTGCATTACATAAGATCCCCAGCACCAGGGACTGGGTTTCATGGAAGATGATTTTGGTGGGGGTTGGGGGGGTGGGCGGGGGCCAGAGCTCTACGGCCCCATCCTTTTAACAGGCTACAGACATAGTAAATTTGAAATTTCACTGAGGATGTTAGTGGCACTATCTGGAGAAAAACTGTGAAATAAATTTTTAAAAAACTTATATGATGAAGTGAGTAGTATAAAGTCTAAAATAAAAAACTCTCAATCCCAGTATCCTCTCACAAGTGAGAAGCCAAATACTTCAGGGCTATGGGCTTTCAGAAATATTAGTTAGCATTAAAATATGTGTGTATGTATGTGTGTGTGTGTGTGTGTGTATATATATATATATATATATATGTGATCGGCCATAAAGGATCTAAGATGGTTTTAGAAAGCCATGCTTGCTGACAAAAGTATAAATTTGCTTTTGTTTTCTTTAAAATGATGGACTAATAATATAGGTTAAATCTAACCCATTCAGTCCTATGAATTAAAACTGTAAAAGTTAAGTTTTTATCTATTTCAACCTTCTATTTTTTTTTTAACTACTTTGTTGAAAACTTAGGGAAACTGCTGCATTAAGTAAAAGTAAATTGAGATTTGTGGGATTTAATTTTTTTAAAAAACAAAGTAATGATAATTAGAAGTAATCCATTATATTAATTGATGTATTATGTATATCAACTTAATGTTAAGCATTCAATGAGAATTTTTGCTTTTCCTGTTTTCTAAAATTATAAGGAAGATAATCCAGAAATATGCATTATTTGAAATTTGAAATGTGTCTAAAAATAGGATATGCTTGAAAATCTTACACTGAAACTGCTGCTTGTAGCATCTTCTGTGGTATGCCATTTTTCAGTTGTTTTAATAAATTGCTTCCTGATATTATTAGTCTATAAAATGTTGACATTCTTTTTGTTAATTATAGTTTGGAGTTTTATTGTACATCATGTGCTATGAAGCTTTTTAACTCTTGTAACAGAACTTAATACTCCAGTCACAGTGTGTCATGTGGATATCTATTCAACATGCACATTATTAATGATGTGATGCTTTAAAAAAAATCTTAGCGTAGTTTTAAAAATTGTTGTGCTGCACGTCTTTTCACTTATATAGAAAAAGAGCTTTCAAGGTTCCATGTTGAATTTCACTAGCAATTAATGTATCTTAGGTTAGAATTGTGGTAGTTACAGCGTGGGTCTAATGAGAGTACTAAGTATTCATTGTTCGGTAATCTTAACTCAAGTTCAAAGCTGTATAGAACTATTTTCCAAAACTATCCCAAGCAGATGGATTGTTTTTAATGTGTCCTACCAAGTATGCCTGTACAATGAGATACTCACAAATAACACATGAACATTGTTCTTACTGTTTTATAAAAAGCAAGCAAGCGGCTGGGCGTGGTGGCTCACGCCTGTAATCCTAGCTCTCTGGGAGGCCGAGGCGGGCGGATCGCTCAAAATCCGGAGTTCGAAACCAGCCTGAGCAAGAGCGAGACCCCGTCTCTACTATAAATAGAAAGAAATTAATTGGCCAACTAATATCAACTCAACTGTAGCCTGGGCAACAAAGTGAGACTTTGTCTCCAAAAAAATAAAAGAAAAAAAAAGGAAGGAAAGAAAAGAAAAAATTAACTTTCTTCTAGAAACAAAAACTTTATCTACAGAACTCCATGCTTTTTCTGACCATACAACAATATTCATACTTTTGGTGTATGTTTTGAATTTTAGCAGATATAACAGTTTCAGCATTCATAAAAAATTCAGTTATACCCCTCTGTAATCAACCCTTCTCCCTAGCCATAAACCTTGGCAATAATGTTTGGCCTTTTCCTATTGTTGTAATTGTTTTCATTTTATGCTAATAAAGGTGTTTGTATCCAGAAGGTATTATACTAAAACCCCCTTTCACTTAAACATACTATGAAAACTTACTTATTATTAGAGTATTAATTAGATTTAGTATTAATCAATATGAAATTCCTTAACATAACAATATTGGAGAACCTATTATAGCTACACCTCAAGCCATTTCCAGTGTTTAACTAAGAGGGGGAAAAAAAATCAGTAATTTAAGTATATGCATACTTAAGTATCTATTACTTAATTTTATACTTTTATGTATACATATTTATGTATACATAAATGTACATAATTTAATTTAATACATACTTATGTATTAAATTATGTATACATAAGTATGTATACATACTTAATTTGTAAACACACAAATTAAGTATGCATATAGAAATTTTAAAGCTTTTATTCCTTGAAAATACATCACAAACTCTTTTTTTTTTTTTTTGAGAGAGAGTCCGCTTTGTTGCCCAGGCTAAGTGAGTGCCATGGCGTCCAGCCTAACTCATAGCAACCTCAAACTCCTGGCTCAAGCAATCCTGCTGCCTCAGTCTCCAGAGTAGCTGGGACTACAGGCATGCGCCACCAATGCCCGGCTAATTTTTCTTATATTATTATTGGCCAATTAATTCTTATTTATAGTAGAGACGGCGTCTTGCTCTTGCTCAGGCTGGTTTCGAACTCCTGACTTTGACAATCCACCCGCTCGCCTCCTAGAGTGCTAGGATTACAGGGTGAGCCACCGCGCCCACCACCATCGCAAACTCTTAATAGTAAGAAAGAAAAGGGAGAAGGGGAACTTTACGATAACAGGCCAGGCACAGTGCTCACATCTGTAATCCTAGCACTTTTGGAGGAGGCAGGACTGCTGGAGTCAAAGTTCAAGATCCAGCCTGAGTAAGAGGGAGACCCATCTCCTACAAAAACTACATTTAGCCAGGCAAGGTAGTATGCACCTGTAGTCCCACTCGGGGCTCAGGCAGGACGATCGCTTGAGCCCAGGAGTTTGAGCCTGCAGCGAGCTATGATTGTACCAGTGCACTCTAGCCCACAAACAAAGCAAGACTTTCTCTCAAAAAAAAAAAAAAAAATGTACAGTGTACTTAAAAATAATTTAAAGTTAATTATAACATTTATCCTCTATAAAATTAGCAAAATAACAGAAGACATTACTCCTGTGTCAGTGTTCACAAGATAGGGTAAGAAGAACTTGCCGGGCGCGGTGGCTCACGCCTGTAATCCTAGCTCTTCTGGGAGGCCGAGCGGTGGATTGCTCAAGGTCAGGAGTTGGAAACCAGCTGAGCAAGACAAGACCCCGTCTCTACTATAAATAGAAAGAAATTAATTGGCCAATATATAAAATTAGCCGGGCATGGTGGCATGCCTGTAGTCCCAGCTACTTGGGAGGCTGAGGCAGAAGGATTACTTGAGCCCAGGAGTTTGAGGTTGCTGTGAGCAAGCTGACGTCACGGCACTCAGTATAGCCTGGGCACAAGCGAGACTCTGTCTCAAAAAAAAAAAAAAAGAAGGACTTAACCCTGTGACTTAATATTTCACATCTAGGAAATACTTCCCGAGTAACAAATTATGACCCAGTTTGCAAAGAAACGAACACAAAACTGCATCTCCGTACGTATTCCATAGGTGAACAGACGGAGTTGGAAGGTATTCCACATCACTGAAGAGCATGGCGCCAAGGCAAATGCTCTACACGATGGGCTGAGGGCCTTATGCATGTAGTTAAAGACAAGGGTGGGCAGAGAGCCGACCAGCCCTTCCAGCAGAACGGAGCTGCCTGGAGAGCAGCCTCAGGGACAGGGCACGCAGGGCTTACGGGCTCGTGGGCTTGTCGCTTCCTCACTCTCCTCCTCAGAGTCGCTGCCGGAGTCTTGACAGCTGGCGCTGGCGGGCGAGACTGGCAGCTGGGGAAGGAAGGTCTGGAGCACTCGCAAATACACCCAGCAGGCTTCCTCAGAGAGCGACCCTGGTACAACAATAGTTATAACATATTTTAGCTGAAATGGAAACTTGGGTATCATGTTTTCCTCATACTCAACAAGGCCCTTCTGACCAGAACTACTGTAGTAAGTATGAAATGTACTGCCCTGTTTATGCCACAGAGCATTTTTAAGAATTTCTTGGAATTTCTAAAAGAAGCAGTGCCTTTTGTACTCGCCAACCCGCTGGCTTTGATCATATCGAGTTCTGCTCCAGTGGTGACTTAGGTGAG